TGCTACTTTTAAAGCTTAGCAAACTTGGATATAATCTCATGGTTGTTGCAAGACTTATAAATTTGAAATCCTTAAGTAATATTTGGGAAGTCATTATGTTCCGGTGCATGCACATAATTTACACCTGTACATGCTGTTGTTGCTTGCGTGTCTTACGCTAAAGCATTTGTTACAGGAGGAAAAGGAGCAGTTGAATGAACTTGTGATAGCAGATGCAAAGGCAGAATATGCTTCATACAGTAACTTGCTGTCCAGGTTTGTCGGACCAGGCTTTTTTCTAAATTTCTAAGATTTTAATTCAGAGACTGGCGCTTTCCAATTTGCACTTTCTTGGGAGAACACATCAAATGTGGGTTCCATAAATCTGAAGCATATATTCTAGTACTAGTTTGAGCGAAAATCCTTAAAGGTCCTTGGGAAGCAGCTATGATGTGGTCTGAATCAACAGTACTGGCAACTCGGCAGCATTCTCGCCTTTTATCAGGAAAATTGTGTGGTTTCACGTTCTCACAACCGGACTTGTTCAAGAAAATGATTGAAAGTCTGCCAGCAGGTTTGATTCTCCGATAAGTTCCGGCCAGACATTCCTACATAATGATAACAATTTCAGATTTCACGTTGGTACACTTGGCAATGTCGCATAACGGCTCACTTTATCTTGTCAAAATGCACAAGGATCGGGACCCTATTGTTATGCCACTAGCTCCAAAGGCAAAGGTGAATGTTGTATCATTGTGATTTAAAACATGTAGTTTTAATGAAAACACAGAGGCATGGACACTATTAAGGTGGAGGACATAAAATCAATGATGGAAAGGATCATTGACGAGAATACTAAGACAAGCAGCCTTGGTAAGGTGACAAAGGATGCAAAAGCCTTTTGGACTGCAAGAAGAGCAGTAGACAATAATTTGAAGGTAATGGATACTGCATCTCGTTCTATATTTTATAGCTGGTAACTTGCAGAATCTTATTCCTCGGGTGCAAGAAATCCTGTTAGGTGCTGCTGCACCGTTAGTTTTACC